TCTCTGAAGAATTTAGCAAAGGCATTGTTTTAGAAGTTGCTCTGTTGTAGTGAAAGCAAGAGAATTCCCAGAGATGTGTAGAGTGTATCTCCTGACACCACGGCGGTAGCATAAACATCATTGTGCAAGGTGCTGTTGCTGGTAAATTTAGCTTCGTCACCCACACGCCTGCCCTGGAACCAGACAAGTACACCTACCTACTCCCTTGACAGATCCCGCTAAAAAGTGTCAGCTGTCTTGCCAAAACTGAATCATTCCTGACAGCATCCTGGAAGTTTGTGTTGTTAAGTGATAATGGCATTGGTTTCAGATTTCTAGTTTAAAAATGATCAGCAAAATTTACAGTCTTGTTTTCGTTTCAGAGTGTAGCCGTTTGAGAGCCTTTGAGTATCTTTTGGGTGAGCATGTGCAGCATTAGTGGAGCTCAGATAAGTGTGCTGGAGACTCAGACACTGGGTTGATTAATACGGAGCAGAACAATTGTGAGCCTCTGTATTGATTTCAGCCATTAATGATTTTAAATTGTTTTTATTCTTAGTCACATTTAATGGACTAAAACATTTTTAATCTATTTTTAAAAATGTATTCACATGGTATAAGTTCACATGTTACAAGAGGTTGGAGAGAATGTATAATGAAAAGTAATGCTGGCTTGGCGCCTGTGGCTCAAGTGGCTAAGGCGCCAGCCACATACACCTAAGATGGCAGGTTCGAATCCAGCCCAGGCCCGCCAAACAACAATCATAGCTGCAACCAAAAAATAGCCGGGTGTTATGGTGGGCGCCTGTGGTTCCAGCTACCTGGGAGGCTGAGGCAGGAGACTCACTTGAGCCCAGGAGTTAGAGGTTGCTGTGAGCTGTGATGCCATGGCACTCTACCCAGGGGGACAGCTTGAGGCTCCTGTCTCCAAAAAAAAAAAATTATGCTTATAAAATTGTTAATGAAGGGAAAAGTTGATTGGCTAGGTGTGGTGATTTATGCCTGTAATCCTAGCCCTCTGGGAGGCCAAGGTGGGAGGACTGCTTGAGCTGAGAAGTTCAAGACCAGCCTGAGCAGCATGAGACCCCACCTCTCCTAAAAATAGAAAAATGAGCTGCCCGCTCGGCGCCTGTGGCTCAAGCGGCTAAGGCGCCAGCCGCATACACCTAAGGTGGCGGGTTCGAATCCC